TATAGTTGTATCCGATGTAGTTGGCTCCACGTAGGTCTCACAGAAATATAAATATAAGCAAATACGAAAATGAAACGATAGCATACGTTGACATAATGGAGACATAAAATTTATTCAAGACTATAAGGAATTAACCAAGATAATCGTAAGATAATTGGCATTTTTATTCATACGTGTAAACGCTGAAGGACACAGGAACCGAAAGGTCCAATTAATCTCAGATAATATAGTAAAATACTCCAAGTATCGAAATGCACGCCATCGTGTCGTGATTCAATATTTTGACATTAATTATGCCATCATCAGGAATTAAAAATTATCCATATTTGCAAGCTTATATGCACAAGCACCAAAAGTGTTCGACCAACCAAAACATTACCCCTAGTAAGTGACATAGCTATGAATAATCTAAAGATCAAAGCATCCTTACCCTGATCAAAGTTACCTACATAAACAAAGGGCACAGGCGTGTCCGAAATATTCGTCTTGAATGAATTTTATGTCTCTATTATGTGTAGAAAGAAGTGTATATGCAAAAACTAGAAAAATATCGGTTAATTGGATTTAAAAGCTCAACAAAACTTAACCCTGATTTATGGATTAAACCAAATTGACCTTGTACGCTTTGTTTAGCAATTTTATTTACTTTTAATATTCAGCTCTGAATCTAGTTTTGATGGAAAAACATTAGTGTTCTATGAATGGTCATTCCGTTTTAAGAATTGGCTTACCTTTGCTTATCATAAGTTTATGTGCAATATGTAATATTGTTTTTTATGTTTAATGTGCAAATAGATTTCTGTACAGAAATAAATATGTGTGCGTTTTTTAGACTGTTGTTGTTGATCATAATCGTTTGTTTATGCGTAATTTACTAATAATTGTGTGCGACTGTAAAATTACGTGTGACCAACGTACACAATCCTGTTCAATATATCATGTTCATTCAAATTTTAGTCGCATTAGGCCTAGTTACACAAGAATGCGTCGGTTTGTGTGTGGGTGCGTGTGTGATGTCGTTTAGAAATAATGCAACCCTATCAGACTACAGTACCCAGAGCAAATATTTGCTTATGCTGTAATCTGAAAAGTCCATATGAGACGCCTGTCCCATGGTGTATCCCGGTGTAGCGTACATTAATTTCCCTACCAGCAAATGTATATCGCTAGTCTCATAAAATCAACAAACATAGATACCGTATTATGTGAGGAGCGCGCAAAAGAATTATGAATAACATAACATAAAATACGATTTGCAATAGTAATACTGTACTGTACTACTCTTACAAAAATATATTTGTGTAAATAACATAACATTACTAGACATACCTATTTTATGAGTTTTAATTTAAAATATATAATATGTTTTGTAAATTACTGATTTTTCAAATGTTACACCAGTCATAAATATGGTTCCGTGAGTGCTAAGTACTTTCGGAAAGTAAAAAGAAAAAAAGACAAAAAAAAAAAAACAAAAAAAAAACGTAACTGATCACCGTTCATTTATATCAATTATCAATTTTTAAGATGTTCGTCTTAACTAATATAATATCTATTCCTATGTCCTTCAGTACTTTTCAGGACAACAAAATAGTTACTTTCCGTGTGGAATCCACAAAAGCTTAACATTCCTTATTTTGAATTTGGATTTAAACGATTCTTTTTTGATAAACGCCGCCCTCATCACATAATAAACTGTATTATGCATGTCTGCGAGATGTAAATGTTTGCAAGCTGCCTGACGTTTTGCTGTTTTCTATTTTAGGAAGGCTCATTAGTATAAAACCACTGAAACATAGGTAAAATGTGTAAGGTCGACATGCAACTGAAACGTGGGTAAAATTTGTAAGGTCGACATGCAACTACTGTTTTTGTTTATTACTTAAGGAAGCAATATCAGAAAACACAATGCAAGAACTTGATTTTGCAGAGCAATGAAGGCAGACTGGAAAGTAAACCGTCGCATACCAAAGAAGTGCTCAGGCTGTAGCTAAACGTCTTCATGCAATCACATAGGTCTTTCAATCTTGCCATGAAACAAACATGTTTACATATATTTAATGCTTGCAGTACAGTTTGTGGTGTACCGCAAGCATTAAATACATTATTACTTTGCCATGCACACATTCAAACAATAAACATGTTTCCAGTGACAGTGTCTTGAAATTAAACAAATAGTAACTAATTGTTGCTTCCTTCTTATTCACCATATGTTGTTGTACACTCTTAAAAATAAAGTGTTAAAAATAACGCTTTAGGTGTTATATATAACACTTAGCAAGTGTCTCTACAGGGACAACACCGTAAGTGTTGTTTCAACTCTCAAAAAAGTGTTACATATTCAACACTTATGAAAGTGTAGGATCTTTAACACTTTGTGGTGTTCATTTGACACTTTCCAGTGACAGTGTCTTGAAATTAAACAAATAGTAACTAATTGTTGCTTCCTTCTTATTCACCATATGTTGTTGTAGATATTGATTCAATACTACGTTAATATTACTAGATCAATAAAGTTCGCAGATGACAAAGCTAATACAAATAAAGAGGATCAACAAGAATTGACAGTCTAAGAACATGCAACACTCATTAAATGAGAGTTTATACACCCGTAAACCAATGTGATGAATATCTGAAAATATCGGAAAGGCTCATCTCCCCAGCTATGTTTGCTTTTTGGTTATCTTATGTCTGGTTGCCAAAATATGACAATACGATTCAGTAGTTGAATCTTTTGAACCCACAACTTTGAACTTATCTCGACATCTTTAAAATGGTAACATGGTTTCTTATGTTCTTGAGAGCCGATGAAGATATCTGAGTGGTTTGATTTACCATGACATGCACACGGAGTACTCATTTTGCTCCATGACTGAATTACACTCTACCATCTGTTTGAGAAATCGTCTGCTCTTACAACAGTTCATACCTCCGTGAACAGATTATTTGACTGAACTCAATAAGGTGTAAATTTATAATTTAAAAAAAAAATCACCCAAATGTAAACAGTTGCTTATATTATTTTATCTTATCTTTTTTCAAGCAAACAAGTTTCAGTCCGCCTGCCTAGCAGCCCACAACACCATACGAGAGGACTATGATTTCCCGAAGCTGAACTGGTCTGAAGACGCCGCCTCTTCTGCTATGGCCTGGGCAAAGACATTGGCCAATAAGGGGTATCTACAACACAGTGAAAATAGAGGTGATTTATGTGGTATTTTTTTTAATACACAACACAATCTGTTGAACTGACTTGGTATACATCAGTTAAATATATATGACAAGGGTGCAAAGATTAAATATGTAGAATTATATATAGTCAATGCATATATCTGTAAAAGTAAAACGGTCGAAGGAGTTGCAAATATCATCAGCAGTGGTAATTAAACCATATATTATATATATATACATATATATACAGTATGTATATATATATATATATATATATATATATATATATATATATTGTGTGTGTGTGTGTGGGAAGGGGTGTGATTAGTTTAAATCTACAGACTTGTTTCTGATAAAGAAATATAAATCTCTAATTTGAAGGTTGTACAATGTCAGAATCTATCATTTTCAACTGCAAGTATCTATCAACCCAAAATTTCCAATAGTTCCAAGTTGAATACTTTCGAATTCTTTTGACTACTTTCAGTACACGGTGAGAATATTTTTATAACCGAGGAGAATGAGAAGGTGTCTGGCAGTCATGTGGTAGGCAAGTGGCTGGAGGAGTCCAAAGCTTACAAGTTTAGGTACCCTATGTGGCAACGCAGTAAGTATAGTATAAATGCATTAAAACACGAGTATATATATACCGAAAAGAAGCCCGTGGGTTTCTTTTTGAGATGGACCTCTTTTTTCACTTTTATTATTATTATTATTATTATTATTATTATTATTATTATTATTATTATTATTATTATTATTATTATTATTATTATTATTATTATTATTATTATTATTATTATTATATTATTATTATTATTATATTATTATATATATACATATATATATATATATATACAGTATATAAGATAATTTCCAATTAAATATTAATTATTTATTTAAAAACACACAGAATAAGCATCACAAACACAGAATAGTATACCTTTTAGCTAGTAGTGGCGCCACTGCGATGGCCCGGTCTCGGTCCTTGTCAGAAGAACCGGCTTCCCATCTAATCGTCGAATTTCCTCTCTTATTTTAACCACACTTACTTCTCAAGTGGTACCTAAGACTAAAAGTACAGTGAAACATCTGATTGAGACTCTGCATCACAAAGTATTGATTACTAGTAGAGTGAAGAGGTGGCGCCAGTGGAAGGGCAAGGGGAGATTCTCCCTTTGCCCGATGCCACATCAATTAGGTCGTCATACCATAAATATTAATTTGCCTCTTCAAATAACGTTATTTTGATTGCCAATCCCTAACATTGTGATATAAAAACACAGTTTTAGGCCATACTAGTGACAAACAGTTTCAGTCTCCCTATAAACCCTACACTAGGGATTTTACTCCGTAATTTATAGGCAATTTCGCACGAATACCACCGCATGAATTGAGAGCTCGAGAACTGATCATGTCGACATTACACTACACAGACAACCTTGTGCTATGTATTATAGCTCTCATTTAACTTATAATTACTTATAAATTATGTAAATATTGAAATGTGTGTGTTTTTATTTTTCATAGATACAAGTCGTTTTACTCAAATGGTTTGGAAAACGTCAACCGAATTCGGAGTAGCAAAGGCCAGGATGAGGAACAAAAATAAATACGTAGTTGTTGCGCACTATAAGCCTATAGGTAACGGAAACATGCCAGGGGAATACAAAAAGAATGTTCCAAGCCATAAAACGAAAACCTCGTTGCAAATTAAACAAGACCCAGAATCAGACCCTGAGTCAGAGCCAGAACCCGAAAAGGAAAGACAAGTCACCCCTTCAAAAAGGAAAGCTGAGGAGATAGTAAGAAACGCCACTCATCAAGAAGAACATTTTCAACACGTTCCTGATGAAATTGCGGAAGATGTTGTACAAAAAGTAAGTAAGGTTGTTAAGACTACGCCGATATGGGACGCGTCCGAATACAGTGACGGTATAATACATACGCACGAAGATGAAAGACACAATGGCAACGATGGCCACACGTTGAATGGATTAAGCGATATGCAAATGGTTCAGTTAGATGATAGTCCGAATGATAACGATAACCACGAAGACAAGGAAGTCGTTGAAGAGGACGTTGTGGGCCAGGTACTCAAGGAACCTGGACCAATAGGCCAACATCTGAAATTCATGAATGACGAAACGCCGCAGTACGAAGACAAAGAGGCTGACCAAGTTGATGATCAAGAATTTATATCTTCAAACCAGGGTAACAGAAATGTAGTAGCGGGCGAATATTTAGAAGAAAGTGGAATCACTTCTATCGATGACGCTGGTAAAAATGGCATAGTCCTGAATCGAGAATATTCTGATGATGAGGACACTGAAGTTTGAAATTTTAAGGCCCAAAATGTTCCATTAAGTGCCGCGGCACATAATGGGAGGCTTTAGTGCATGCGCTTACTCAGAGCGGCGCTTAGGCCTATTACAAATTAATGTAGTGCTAAATTAGTTACTATGTATTTGTAGGCCTACGTCATAGAAAGCTAAATTATTTCATCGTAATATTATACGAAACATAACAAAACGCTGGGTAGGCCTATGAGCGTCCACACCACGACGTAATAATTTAAAAATATAGAATATCAGTGTTAATAAACGCCGCATCAACGCTTAGCGAAATAAAATACGGTTATAAGTTGCGTTGCTTATTCGAGTCTCGAGAGCGCCACTTGTTTGAAAGGCACTTAGTGGAACATTTAAGGTATTGTACCGCTTGTTAAATGGAAATAAGGTAGCTACGACCTAGCTAGAATTCTGAATCTGTCATGCTTTTAATTTGAAAAGAGAACATTAATTATAGAGATACTCTATAACAATGTGTATAGAGAGACTATTAATCTATGACAATTATGTGATATACAAAAACCAATAAGTGGGAATAGTTAGACTAGCGTTTTAATTATAGCATATCGGCAGCTAAAGTAACATAGGGGGTAAATAAAGTCCTTATCGTGTCTACCCACCATGGCTGAAAATGTTCAATGTTCAAAACATTTACCTCTATGCTCAAGAGAGTGTGCCAGTGTGATTTCATTAATCTGCATTTCATGTGTTTATTGGCCTATAGTAAAACGGTAGTTGGGTAATATATTAGTTGTGTAACCTAGCTGTGTAGCCTACTTAATGTGAGTTTATTGAAACTGAATATTGACACTTTCACTACCGTTCTTCTATGCATTACATCTTCATTCTTTACAATTTCATTCTCAGTATGTGAATATTTATGTTTTAAAAACAGTGAATATAAAGTGTAGTGGCCTTAGAACACCATAAGAAATGACAACAGCCCAACAGCACTTTTAAGATTAACTTGTAAAAATGTATTCTCTAGCTTTCGTCCACCAAGTGGACTTCATCAGTTTTCTTATAATGTTTTAAAAAAGTAGTTATGTTTTAATCACCGATACCTTCAATAGAAAAATAATGATATTAAAATGGTTTGTTGAAGTTTTAAGTTTATGCGTTTGGTATACATTATTTGCAAAAGTTTACACTTATGATATCCATTCTATTATCTTCGCGCCCTCTAAAGTTCAACAGTTTAAATATGAACAGTTGTAAAGAAACGTATTTAGCCTACTTTCTATATACAAACGGACAGCCCACATAGGCTTTACGATTAATTATTAAATTATAAATGATTAAGTACTTACTTAACTATTGTTGTATACATGTATATTACAACTACACTTGTATTTGGAGGATATTGGTTATTTGTTGAATTCCAAACACCAATCGAGATCGGCCACAAGTAATTTGAAATGGAAATTAAAGTACAACAGTTATTAATAAAAAACAAATGACATGATTAGCGTTAAATAATAATCAAACTTCACTTCTATTTTTACATAAGATATAAAGTTGGAAATTAATGTAAGTTGAAAAGTAAACTTCAAATGAGCCTTACACCAAATCGGCCATAACTCAGAAAGACCATAATTATTGTCATTTTAATAGGATTCATTCGTTCGTTCGTTTGTATGAATCATAATCGATTCTAGTTGCTGTTAATAATTGACTGGAACAGTCGTAGCAGGGTCACCGATGAGCAGGTTAACAGCATGACCCTCCCATTTATACTCCTGGGAGACGAGAGGCAAACGTTAAGTAAAGTGTCTTACCTTACTTGCTCTTACAGCTGCATAAAGGCACAGTAACCGTACGAAGTTAAAGTTGGAGAAGTTAAGTAGGACTTCTGTTGATCAAATGGAGTGCCCAGAAGTTATAATAATAATAGCGCATTTATCCACTTTAAAAAGTGTGCAAGGCACGTTAAAGGTCAACAGCAAACTAGATTGTATAAGGAGAGAAACCAATATTTTTCCTCAAACTAGAATCTAGAAATTTCTTTAAAAAAATATTTTATTAGAAAAGGCAGGACGGTACATCGCTTTACGATCACGATCAAATTCAAAATGAAGTAAAACTATTATACCATAAACTCTACACTTGTATAACTACAACTTAGAATTACAAGACTACATAAATATATATATAAATTAAATGTTAATCACTGATTTATGGATATAACGCTGGTTTATCAGAAGCAGGGGTTAATGACGTGTATTTTCAAGGGCGATAAGAAAAAAAAGTCCCATTTCATTGTTGAGTCTTTCCATAATGGTTCCAACACACTTTTTTGCCCGACCCCCTTGAAATCGCCCAATATTTTGCCTGTTGGGGGTCTACCTGAGATAACCACACAGTGAAATTTTTGGCTCCGCGCCAGCATTTTCTGATGAGTAGAGCAATTTGAAATGTTCATGAGATTTGGCTAAAAAACTCACCTTCTGACAGACAACTGCTTATGTCTCTATTGAAACTTCTGGTACTTGGATAGAGGAGAAGATTCTATTTCCAATGATATGCAACTCAATGATGTCCGGACTAGTGAAAGTTATATAGGTCAAGTCACGTGACCTTGACTTTTGACCCAAAATATCACAAAAATATATATCTCGATTTTCGGAAAATTCACACCTCAGTTAGGACACTTAGCCCACATGATGCCCCTAGAGTTTCATTGTGGGCAAATGAAATATATTAGCTCTAGACTACATTTTGTGCCTAGGTATTGATAGTTTCAATGAGTTTCCAGGAAATCTGCTGATTGATTCTATGAAACTTGCACCATAGTATAGTGAAAATCAGACCATTTTTCTCGGACCAAGGTTTCTCTGCTGATTTAGCATCACATAGCAGCATATGTTATTGTGTCAACTGAGTTCAATAAACATGATTTCAAAAAGCTATAATGGCAGCCATTTCGAAATTCCAGATGGCCGAAATGAAAATTGTCAAAAATCAATATATAAAGAGACATAACATGTGATTAGACACCAAATTTTTACCATTTCGGCTAAGAAAAATTGGAATTAAAAAACAAAATATTGATTTTTGACTGCATTACTATTTTGTTTTGATATTTCACTTTTTCTCGATTTTCTTTTTTTTTTACACTTCTCATATAATAAATCAATTTAATAGAATGCTATCGTATAATTTTTTTAACGTAGAAAAAATATAGAAAATACAAATATTCATGATTTCTTACGACCAACACGAAGCAGCGCCACTGCACCAAAAGGCTCTCAACAAAAGTTAAACCAATTCAAATTCGCTCTTGCAAAAGCTCATATTAATCACCCTAGTTTGTACCAACATTTTATTTGACCCGACCAATCAACTACTGAGGATGGTCGTAACTCTGTGGCATTCGAAAGAAACTTTTTCTTGGGCATAGTTAGCTTTGTGACCTCCTTCGTTATAGTGAAAACATTTCCGTGTGTCTATCTGATCATTGTTACAGGTAAAAAAGAGGTAATAATATGCATACCAAACATGGGAAATTCTAAGGAAAAATAGCGGTACAAAAATTAAGATGGCTAAGAAATTATTTGTCTGTGATCTTTTTTCTTTCAAAAATACATAATCGTTATTTTGGAATTAAATAGAATTAGGGCAGTGATGTCATATATTAGTAAACATAATATTAGTATTTTTACGAGTGCCCAATGTTATCCAATCTACCCTTTTCATAAATTTCAATTACACATTTTATTCCAAATTTACAAAATTGCAGTGAAATTCTAGATTGGAAAAAAATAATTAAAATATTAAGTCTACCGACAAACATTGGGAAGTGGAACATAATACCACTTAAATGTACATCATAGTACTAACCTTAGATAACTACATTAGTACATAATTGGAAACCTAGATAAGTAGGCTAAAGGCCTGCACATGCATTTCAAGTGGTTCACTGATTATATTTAGATAATAATTATAAGATCATACAGGAATGATGATGATCGAATAATGGTCCTCGCATCCACATCCCACTCCGAATTGACATTAAGGAGGCATATTTTTTATACGGTCTATGCTTGGAGAAAGTTTGGTAAAGATCCAAGCATGAAAATGACCAAAGTGCAGGGCTGAAAAACCCTGTGCAAAAAGATAGGAAAAACGATATGGAAGAAAAAAATCTAAACAAAAATAATGGCTTTCCTGATGATGACGATGTTCAAATAAAGAACGAAATATCGATTCACCATGCCTTCTCTTAGTCTTTTTGGAGTCTGTATGGTTGTGTGTTTAATTTGATTAATTTTGCTAATAACTTTAAAAACGATATACAAAGGAAAACGAGGAGCTTCTCAGTCGGCTAATCTGGTGGTAGCCACTGTGTGTGCGCTGAACCGCGGAGATCCCAAGGTACCCGGTTCAATTCCCATCGCTGCCTCTCCTTGTGTTTCAGCTGGAGGGCTGAAATACAAGTTACAATAGCGCACGTTTAAGCCGTTGGTCCCGTGTGCATTTATGGCCCAAGTGCACGTTAAAGAACGCAGTACACCCTTCGGAAAAGAGTAGGGGATTGTCTCCCGGTGTATTGCCTAACCACCACCAGATAAGGACCCCATTGGAAATAAGTCTTCTTCTAGACTTTCGTGGGCTATTCTTGGTGTTTACATCGAATACATCCAGTCCAATCCAATCCAACGGACAACACAACACCCTCAGATATAGATGACAAGATAGGCAGCAAGCAAACTTAATTGATGTGCAGCTTTTTCTCCGACAAGGGTTTAAATGAAACAAAAAACAAAAACTAAATACATGTTATTATCTTACTAAATCACATTATAGTAACACTTTGGTATGGAGATATCCCCTCTCCACTTGTGTTGATTAAAGATGATAATAACTACAGTATTTGAGGAAACGTGTCCCCCACCGGGATTCGAACCCAAATGAAGTTATCGTATATCTAAAATATAAAGGAAGAAATTTTAAGATATTACAAGGTACAGTTTATATATAAATATGCTGACGAATGAAATGATACAAGATTTATATAGACCTACAACTATTTTTTCCAAATGCTTAATCAAATCACATCCAGCCAGTTAGGGTCTTTGAATTATACGTTTCCTGTCCGCCTAGTCTGCGCAGTAGACCTAGCAGGAATTTCCGGAAAGATCAGTCCTATAAAAGTCACGTCGTAAAAATACAAGTTACTATTGTATAGCCCCAACACAACGGGAGACTTTCACCATATATCCAGGTGTTTATGGAGCTACTGCCATAAAAATTTAAGTTTGAGCGGTTACCCGCTGTTATTCTCCAGCTAAAATTTTCATTTTTTAAACATTCCTCTAGGATATTTATACGACCATGGCATGGAGCTCAATGGCACGGCAAGCTATGTTATTCTGGTGATGATTTCAGTTCGTTTTCTACCGTCGCCCAGTTAACGTTGCGTTATTTAAACAGACAAACCAAGGTAGGTTGCATGGTCTATGTACGCTCTAAATATTACAGGCCTTATGCAGTATGTTAAAGCTGTCAGGAAACGCCTTTAATTAATAACTTATTAGTATATATATATATATATATATATATATATATATATATATATATATATATATATATATATACACACCTGCACTCTCTCGTGTCCTGGGTTCGAATCTAGCAACAGCATTACATCATACTCGCAGATTCCTTTTTTTAGCGTTCAATATATATCGTGTGTGTATATATATATACATATATCAGCACATCAACCCTTTGTATAAAGGACGCTCAGTTCGCGCGCACTGCGACGCACTCGAGTAAACGCGCGCATTTTGTATAATGATGCATTATATTTTGTTAGTTTACTCAAAAAATATGTATGGGAAGTTCTGATATGAATTTCATTGTATTCTGTTTAAAAAAAATACGTTGTGCAATTTATAAAATTCTTTATTTTATTTTTTTTTTATTTTTTACGGATGAAAAGTTTTACCAAACTTCTTGACTTCCGTACTATATCCCCATGCAAATGGTCTGTTCTATCAGCCACGAATACGTGGATTTTCACAGGAAAGGTAACGTCGAGTTCAACGAAATTAATTGCTGCAAGTTCGCCAGCAGTTCTAACCAACCAGCCTGTCAAATCTACTTAAGGTATACGATTACCACATGCAATGCAACAGAAACAAATTAGTACCGTCATAGTGAGAGAGCCTTTGGGGAAAAAAATTGGGCTCCGACGGGAGTGGGAAATATAATTCGTCGAAGAGAAAAATAAATTTAATTTTTACAGATAATTAAAAAGCAAGCAAAAATATAATTATATTGAATTCCTTTCATTATCTAAACAAATAAATTGGTTGTGTTTAGATTCCGATGGCGTATAACCTTAATTATTTTTTTTAATATATATATATATATATATATATTTGATTTGTATAAGCTGCGCTGCTGTCACCGGAGCTACTGACTTTGTTGTCGCTATTTGCGTCTTCTGGCTGCTATGTTTTCTCTCAGAATATGACGAGCCGAATTGTTATATAGTTGCAAATTGAGATATCTAAGTTTTAAATAGAAATATCTCTGTTAATAAAGATCTCTATTAATTAAGATATCTCTATTTAAAACTAATATATTTATATTTAGAGATATCTCTATTCAAAAAGAGGTACTGTATATCTTTATTTAAAACAAGATATGTCTATTGTCATCAATGTTGTCATTGAGTAAAAGACAACATAGATAGAGATATCTTAGTTTTAAAATAAGGATGTTAGACTTCACTTTATTACCCCCGGTCATTGGAGCACGTACCAGAGTACATTATTGAACACATGCTCACTGAACCCCACCATCGTTGGCGCTGAGGTGTGCAAATTAGGCCTATACCTGGAAGATAGCAAATTCATACTTAAAAAAATTGAATGTAATCAGAGCCGGCTTTACCCTTCATTGTGGTGATGACCGTTTGGCCGACTCCAACGACAAATATTATATTAATTGGTATTTATTTTTATATATCTGTGTAGGCCTGTGTTCAAAAGTAAGTACGAGAAAAGGTGGTCCAGCCATAGCCGGTGTGGTTCTGAAGGCCCTGAGGCTAGGAAGTCTAACCTATGTCTAAACTTATTGTCTACTACATTTTGTACGTTTGATGGCAGCGCTGATTCAACGAAAATGAATGTTTCTACCTCTCCTCAGGTCTTCGTTACCATTACAACAGTATAATACAATTAGCGCAATATATCTACTTGGTGACTGATCAGATTCTATTAGTGGCCACATAATTATAATTACAAAGGGTCATCGTTGTCTTGATCATATTGTATTTGTTAAATAGGAAATTCAAATGTAAGCAACATAACAATGATATAAGATATTATTTTTTTTTTAAATTAAAAACGAGCAAAGTGTATGATGGCGGGGTGTGGGGGGGGGGGGGGGGGGGGGGGGGTGCTGATTCCCTCTGTTTCACCCACTTGATTCGCAACTGCCATTAACGAATGCAAGTAGTATGATAGGCCTAGGCCTATATTTAGAGCACAAGAACTCGTGTTGTAAGTTTAAAGTAGCCGGATACTAATAAGTATAATTAATAAGTAGGCATATTAATAAATAAGTTAAGTAGGCATATTGCTGCTGTTTCAAAATGAAAGAAAAAAAACAAAAAAAAACAAAAAAAAAAAAACGACAAAATCTGGTATAGGTAGGCCTAGGCCTAATCCGAAGACTGCGCCTAAAGAAAAACCATAATGAGCTGCCAATGCGAATAGAGAGGCGGACATTAACCAAGTCTGTTATTCTGCTGCGATTAACCATAAACAGGAAATACACAGTTTAGATCGGACAGAAACTGATTTTGAAACGGAAAATCGAACGAGAAAACTTAATTGACGATAACCATCTAAAGGAGCAAATTTGACATCTCCATGACAACATTTTGTATTTATATTTCACCTCAAGAATGCTATCTACTTAATGAAATAAATGTGAATATTATGAAATTGGGAGTCGCTTTAGATTATCATTTTTAGCAGCCCGTGAAGCAGCTTCACATGTTTATTTATTAAAAAGGTATAAAATATTAAGCTAAAGCTAGACTACTGAAACTAAACAAGAATATGTATTTGATTTCATTTAACGAAGTATGTTTAGCCGTGAATTAGTATCGATCCACGACTGGTATTTGCAGCATACTGACACCTTCAAGTTGATATCTCCAGATATGATTTTTTCCAGTTTTTTAATAACTTAAAATTGTGCTTGACACTTTCTTGTAAGATAGTATAATACATACTTCAAGTATCGAAATGCACGCCATCGTGTCGGGATTAATATATTCCGACATTAAATTATGACATAATTCATGTCGGAATATTGAATCCCGACACGATGGCGTGCATTTCGATACTTGGAGTATGTATTATACTATCTTATCTGAGATTAATCAGTGGACCTTTCGGTTTTTGGAAAACACTTTCTTGTCACACTTTCAAAGAAATGTTAATAAACCTTGTCGTAAATTGTAACAACTAAGTTGACCCGTAGAAGTAGGCAAAACAGATTCTGTGAAAACAAAAGGTTTTTTCATCTTACTTTTAATTTTCAATCAAGATGGTTCATACAAAAACGGGGCTTAAAAATTAATAAGATAAAATATAGAGAATAAAAAAGCCCGTGTCCATAAAGGCCAACTCAGACAGCGTCTGCCGACGCAGCCCGACGCGATTTGTTGTCACGTCGGGTCTGTGTGAGTTGAACGCAGACGCGAGGGGCAGTCGCGTAGTAGAATATCAAACGTGTTTAATATTTCTCACGACGGCTTAAGACTGTCCCCGGGTCGGGCTGCGTCGGCCGACGCTGTCTGAGTTGGCCTTTAAGCAACAGGCACGCGTACGCCTACTTCTACAGAGGATAGTCCTGTGCTTGTGTGCTCGTTTATGCGCACAAAATTCGGGTATTCGCATTCACAGTTTGTTTCCAGGGCTGATTTTCTTTCCACAGGTCGCAAAACGGGTTTACTCCTCTAGAAGCTCCCACCATCAGGTCAGGACCGACATTCGATCCACACATGACAGGGGCGGATTTAGGAAAGTAAAAAATAAAGTGATTGCCCAAAACGCCTCAGAGGTTATTTTCGGGCGTCTAGTGACGAAACTTTTACTGGGGCATGACCCCGGACCCTCTAGGGTGGTGTTACCTCGATCGGCTCCACCTTTCGGCCCCCTTTCGGACACCTCTGGATCCGCCCCTGCATGATATCAACATCTTTATTTTTTGTACTATCATACATCTCTATTAACGCTTTCATGACCATAACTGACCATAAAAATTAAATATGAAAATAAACATGAATATTTAAATACGAGAAATAAATAAGAACAAGAACAAAAATAGCCCTGTCAACATTTCCATTGTGACAATCGTCTAAAACAATTATGGAAAACAATGGGGATGAACTGACTAATTCAACGTTCTGCTTGACAGCCAAATTAGTTGTTAAAAATATGTTAAATATACTGCGTCTCGTCACAAAAACAATTACAAAACCTTATATGATATACTAGTTGGATATGAGTATATATATA